AGAGAGAGAGAGAGAGAGAGAGAGAGAGAGCTGAAAAGGGAGAATTAAGTGAACAGTACTTTATATTCACAGAAACATTATTGCATATAAAGTGTCAAGAATTCAATGCACAGGAAATGATTTTTATAAAGTTAGCTTTTTTATTAATTTTCAAATTGCTATTTAATAATGCGTTAAAAACCATAACCACAGCAATAATGCAATTTCTGTGTTCAGCTTTTACTCAAAAAAGTTTGAAATATAAACACAAACTCTGCGATCAATACATACATACTGTACATGTATGTGGTTTAGACAAACTCACGACTTATGGCACTTAATCTGCTTATGATTATAATCTTCAAATTATGTCAGTTTTGGGATCTTATGAGTCATGTATTTGAGAAGTAATTTGCAAAATAAGTCCAAAGTTTTTGTGGCAGAGAAACACATGATATGCCCACTAATACCCACCGCTTCTGTTATTGCTTTCGATATTCGTTAGCAAACAATACATCGCCGGAGAAGTAATGCTTAAAACTATTGTTTTACTGTATTTTCCATTATTATTGTATTATTTCTCTCATATCTACCAAAAGTGCATTTATTTGACTTTTAACGAAGAAATAGACTTAATTGAGAGATGTATTAGTAATACAGTATTACGAAAGATTCACGAAAGATAACTGTTTGCTTTACTTCAGATCTACTTAACAAATGTATTGATAAGACATTAATTGACTTATTTATGAAAATCATCGAAATATCTCATAGAAACTCATTTTATGAAGTAATGCTTAAAACTATTGTTTTACTGTATTTTCCATTATTATTGTATTATTTCTCTCATATCTACCAAAAGTGCATTTATTTGACTTTTAACGAAGAAATAGACTTAATTGAGAGATGTATTACGAAAGATTCACGAAAGATAACTGTTTGCTTTACTTCAGATCTACTTAACAAATGTATTGATAAGACATTAATTGACTTATTTATGAAAATCATCGAAATATCTCATAGAAACTCATTTTATGCGATAAAACATTCCCGTAATTCTAAGAAAGCTTTTTTAATCTAATGTTTGTTTCAGTCATATCTGATATTATATAATACAATAGACGACGAGAAAGTTATCGGTATATTATTATTGAATATTTAGTAATTTTAGACATCGATTCGTTAGATTTTATGTGAGGTATAATTGAGAGCATTGATAGGAATTGACACAAATTTATTTCCAAATGAGAAATGTGTTCAGTTTTGAAGGCTTGTGATGAGCCAATGCATATGGTATGCCATTTCTAATTTGCTAAATAATACAATTCTTTAAAAAATTTAAATATAAAACAAAACAATAAAATGTTTAAGTTACAATTTGCATTATAGGCATATGATTAAAAGCATCCAGATTTCTTAACCTTAAATAAAGGTTTAATTTACTTTAAAAATCAATTCTTCGACACATTCCCATGTCTTAAGAGGAATATCATTGGGATTGAGATGTGGTCAGTGTTTAGAAAAAGTGTTTAAATAGTTTTAATTTTCTTGTGGCGGTTAACGTTATGGAGGTTTTGTAATATAAACCACAGGCGTTACACACGGGCTCTCCTAAGCCGCTGCGCCGCCATAAGGATGTGTTAGTTGTGGAACAGTTAGAACACGACAAACCCAAACGTCTTGATTGTGTCTAACAGACAGACAATTCATACAAAAACAGACACATATTCAGTATTAATGCCAAACAAGTGTTGATGTGTTGAATAGCAAAGTCATTGAATAGACACTCAATATAACTACAGAATTTGTTTATGTAATAAATATCTTATATAATAAATGTCTTACTGTTAGCCGCCTTTGATTCTTAACAATTGGCTGATTGTTTTCATCAATTCTGTGGTAAAGTCCATAAGCATTGCAGAGATTAACTATTGGCTACAATTGGATCACTTTATGATTGCATTAATTCTTGAATGAATTTCTATAAATTGTTGTGCACTAAAAGCTTATAAATATTTGAGTGCTAAATATTAAATAACAAATATTGTATTATTTTCAATAATAAAAATTAGTAACGACTTTAATAGTAAAACACATGTATTGCTAATAAAACATTGCATTTTATTCCCAACCCCAACATGAGAGAGAAAAGTCAATCCTTATCATATGTCTCTACTTTCCTAACCCTTTTGTGTTAGTTTTCAATTTTACAAAAATATTTTAATGAAATAACTTTTTATTTCTGTGCATAAATTCAATCTTCTTATTCTCAGAGCCAATAAATGCTGTGAATATTAGACAAATCTTTCAACAAGAAGGTCACGTATAAACTTATAGACTTTTGGTCGATCTGTACTCCAACAGTCTCTACCAGTGTATAGGGAGAGAGTGTGTAATATACAGAATCTATACTGTATTTCTCGTCACTCCTGACGTGAAGCTGTTTATTACAAATAAAGTAATAGATTAGCTCTTGAATAGTGGTTCAGATTGTGTTGAAATTTGTGAAACTTTCGATACAAAGTTAGTCGAGTATCAGCTATCGAACAGTGAAGTCAATCACACCATTCAGACACCCCTTTTGCCTTCTCATACCCCACTTGTATATAACACTTATAAAGTATATTAGATTTTGAATTTCATATAATGTGTGCCTTTTTATCATATAATTAATAAACAATTTATCGGAGAGAGAAAGAGAGGCAAAACTGCTGTCACGACGAGAGAGTTAATCCCCACCGATAATAAAGATCCCGATAAGGCATTAGTCTGTGGTGTTTCTGTGGCCCAGAAATAAAAACGTTAATATCAGCGATGAATGGGTTGTCTGGCGATGAGTTGACTGGAGCTGAGGTGAAGCTGGAGTCGGGCTCTCCCGCAGCGGCGGCGGCTGTGATCGCCGATACGGAAGAGACGGGAGGTGTGGGACAACACGAAGAGGAGGAGAACGGAACTGTTGGTGTGACGGCTGTCGGTGGCGGCGGTGCAGGAGGTTTGTGGTGGACTCACAATCAAACACCTGTTGTGACGTCGGCCTCGGCCTATGACCTGACAGGCAATGGAGTGATTAGTTCTGTGGCGTCAAAAGTCGGTCGTCTGAACGACACGTCAAATATGATGAATTACGAGTGGGACGGAGGAGTAGACGCTCACAATCATCACAATGTGATCCAATTGTCGACAACGCCTACCTCTCTGGCGACCACCAGCTCTGGCAACACGAGTCACATCATAAGCATACACTCGGCCGACAGTTATATCAATTACAACCAAAGCAACCAAAACCAGAACCAGAATGAGAATGCATTGCAATCTCAGGGCCAACAGAATCAGCAAATGGTGATCCGTTCCCAACACCCGGTGAACCACAAGCGAAGCAACTCCGGCTGCGAGGGAGGTATGCCTGACCTGTTCTCGCCGACTGAGGGCCGCGAATGTGTCAATTGTGGTAAGCATTGAATTGCATGCAATGATATGTACTTAAAACTAAAGTTAACGCTATTTCGCCCCGATTTCTAACAATTTTTTTAAAGTTGACTTAAATTATTCCACAAAAGGAGCCATTAGTACCCCATTATGGCGAAGAGATGGTACCGGACATTATCTATGCAACGCTTGTGGACTTTACCATAAAATGAATGGAAATAATCGACCACTTGTTAAGAATCAAAGGCGGCTAACAGTAAGACATTTATTATATAAGATATTTATTACATAAACAAATTGTGCCGTTATATTGAGTGTCTATTCAATGACTGCTATTCAACACATCAACACTTGTTTGCATTAATACTAAATGTGTGTCTGTTTTTGCATGAATTGTCTGTCTGTTAGACACAATCAAGACGTTCGGGTTTGTCGTGTTCTAACTGTTCCACAACTAACACATCCTTATGGCGGCGCAACGGCTTAGGAGAGCCCGTGTGTAACGCCTGTGGTTTATATTACAAACTCCATAACGTTAACCGTCCGATAACTATGAAGAAGGACTCGATTCAGACCCGCAAACGAAAGCCCAAACAGACGTCAAACCAGTCTCAGTCTCAACCACTGTCCACATCTCAATCACAGCCCTATTCTATACCACATAAGTTGGGAATGGGATTCGGAGTCAGTTCAGGACTGACGGGCGCACAGGGTTTCATCGCCGCCCAAAACTCGACTCAAAAGGCAATGTCGGCGAGAAGTTACGTAAACTTTCCGACCATAACATCGTTAGGTGTCGCACAACTGGCCGCACAATACCCAAACACATCCCCATACTATTTGAATAACTCAAACAACGATGTCATTCCACACCCGCACCAAAGCCATCATCTCTCGCCACCATTGGCTCATCACAACTCTTCAAACCTTTACTCTCATTCCGATTCAATGAATAATATGAGTCCTGTCGGCAATGCTCTCAGTTATGTCTCACCACTCAATAATGAATACATGCCTTTGACTACTCTTTCCGAAGAGCACTCATATTAACCTCCAATTCCCGACCAGAAACAAACCCATCGGCGATATAAATATATACTGTATAACGATTACAATCAGAGTAAAGACTGAATAATAATAAAAATGTTTTTAACAAATTGATATCAAATTAGATACAAAATCAAATTTTACAATTATATTTGTATTTTTAATCTTTATATAAAATTTTTGAGATTTTTTTTGTGGGAATAGTTTGTAATACATATAAAATATTAAAAAATAAATATTACTGAATATTAAATAAATTAAATGAAACACAAAAAACTGACGAGATAAAAGATTTTCTGAGAATTGACAAATTGTGCTTATCATGTAAAAATAAGTTAAATGCTATATTTCAATGATTTTTATAAATAAGTCAATTATTTTTCTTATCAAATGCATTCGTCGAGGAGATCTCAAGTGAA